TATATACAAGACTACCGCATATCTAATAGCCTCTCGAGACTTCAGGAAGGGACGTAAACGTTCGAGAAGCGTATGACCTGTTACTAGCGTCATATGACCTCCGTTGTCGTAACAATACCATCGATAGTAATAGTAACTACAGTTGGTACTTCTACAGTCTCTACATTTCAAAATACTACATCATCTCCATAACTTTCAAATGGCTGAACACTTAAGTGTTAAGAATACATTAGATAGAATAAAAGAGTGGCTGTATTGGGTTGGATGCTCTGTAGGTAATTAGTGTAAATTCTGTGAACAATGCTGTAAATGCAAAGGTATACAAAAAAAACAGTACAGGCAGTCCTGTGTTTAGAGCACCAACAATAAAAATAAAACCAATGCACATACAGTCCTCTTCTCTTCTAGATAGTGTTTAGTCCTGTTGCCTCTCTCTCTCTCTCTCAGAATTCAGTGCTAAAGAATCAAAAATGATGATGTTCAAAACAAAAAAAAGAAAAGAAGCAGGTTGTTCCCGTAGATCGATTAATGAAAAACTAAACTTAGAAAGTGTGCTCGAATCTTGAATGTAAACCTGCTTTCTTTGTCAAGTGGACAGCGTCACCTCATGATACCGGTTCTCTGACAGCATTTGTTAAGTTTTACTTTCAGTTAACCTCATAATTGGCCAGCAAAGGAGATTCCAGTTCAAATCGGATGTCTTATTTAATGTTGAAAGACCTTTCTGGGCAGAGGAGACATTACCTACTAAACATGATAAAGAAATGGATTAACTAGAACAAGATAACGTTAACGACTTTCTGGAACTCACGTTGTTACCATAATAGTACAGAAACTAAATAATCGAAAATTTTCTTTATCACTATTAAAGATAGGAACACAAGATATACCTGCATATCACAATTTTTCGTGCCTCATTATTTTGCTCGTTACCAACCAGACCGTAATGTTGTCATTAATCTAAGTGACAGATTAGGATACAGTTTCGATCTTTCTCGGTAATTTGATACCTTTTTTGCATTCTCAAGACAGAAAGCCTGGCTATAAGATAAACATCCTGGTCAATTATGTACTAGAGTGGTGCTCATGCGATAAAAGTTGAATGTGTTTATGTTCTCCATGTGAAAGCTCACTTCTTCCGTATATATATCAACTCAAAGACTCGTCTGCCATTAACATTGCAAATAAGCTCTTCTTCCATTATATGTAGATAGTCACAGATTCGTTTGTTGTGAATCGAAGTTTAAGGATGAATAATAGTACCTTTATTCATCATGTGGGTAGTTAATTTGGGGGTAAAATCTTTCATTGTGTGTGTTTTATTATTAACTATTTTCCTTTATGTGTAATTATTTCATACAGGGTTACAAGTGTAAGCCAAGATGTTAGAGAAATATGGTGATCTCAACATTTCATAACTTTAAAAGAAATTGTCTGTTTTTAATAAAAATCAACAATAATAACACTGATACTAAATTGTTATGCATGCACGAATGCTGTTTGGCAGCTGTTTCTGGGTGATAATTTGACAGCTATTAATTATGACATAAATCTAACAATAAATTAGTAAATATAACATAAGTATAAATTATAAAGTATCCACACTCTCAAAATTACAAACGCAAAAAAAGTGTTACACTTATATGTCGAACTAGTTTCTAAAGCGTATTTTCCTGAAGATTATATACACAATAATTTTCATTGAGTTTTAAGTTGCATGAATGTACCTAACATTCATACACAAAGCTTTGAATTTCAATACTTAGGTTTTTGTTTACATTTCTAACGTTACATTAAGCTATACAGTATATGTTAATTTTTATTAATCACACATAATTTTGATGATGTTATTGTATATATCAAATGTTCTCATTACTTTTCGTTTCTATATAACAGAGAACGCGTCATCTAGCGTATATTTGTGAAGTGTCATGGCAGCCTACATGTAAAGCGTGAAGTTTAGCGGAGATAACTAACTCTATATATATTTAGGTAGCAATGAACCCCGAGTTTACTGCACTTGTTTTAAACACATTAAGGAATGCCTCAAATCAAGATGCACAACTTTTAAAGCCTGCTGAGCAACAATTAAGGCTATGGGAAACACAACCAGGGTTTTATTCAACATTATTGGTGAGTTGAGAATTGTTTCCATTCCAATCCAATGTTATGTTGTGTTTCTGCAGTGCTCCTTTTACAGTATAAAAATACTAAGCATATGATAGGACATTGACAGAGTCGTAAGGCCTTTTTTTAAAAAAAATAGGACTATAATTGAAAGTTGTGCGGAATTCACTTCTTGTGAATTTAATATTTATAAATTTCTAACTTTTTGTGCACTCTCTAGTACTAGTAGTAAAGTAGTATGGAAGAAGTCATAAGTTAGCTACTGAGTGTATACACACCAGTAACATTTTATTTATCAAAATCCTTTCATCACATATTTTTTTTGCTATAATTACATAGACCTGAAAAGTTCAAATGCTAAGGACAATGAATGAAAGAAGGAACAATCAGTTACATAAAATTCTGCTTTTGTAGCCATTATTTATTAAACGTAAAAGCACTGTTTTGCTAACTTTATGTGTTTGAGCAAACAGTGTGTAAACTTATACTGGGCATGTCTGACTTTATGTAATATTAATAGTGGATGCTTAATGTTCTCTACATTAACATAGACATAGTTTCATAAACAGACATTTGAGTAATGTGAGAGTGATTAATAAGTGAAATCAGCTCATTGAATATATATATGAATGGTGGCAATATAGTGGATGGAAAGTATGACAAACCAATCACATACACGTGGTGGATTGTGTTGACCCTTGTCCTTCCTCCAGTTATTTAAATTTCCAAATTAACAAGTCACGTGATTTGTCAGTCGATAGCATGAGCTCAGTATTTAGGCAGAGGTTGTCATAGTATTGTTAGTCTGCAAAATAATGGAAAAGAACAAGAATCTCTTTAATTTTCAAAAATAACATGTTGCCCATCTTGAGAAAGCTTTGTTAATAAATATGTTTTGATTAACTGTTTAAAGAAATCTGTCACTAGAATATATCATTTTAGCAATCAAAAGGGATTACACTTAACACTAGGGAAAATGTGGTTGTCATCTGAGGGAAAATATGATTGGATAGGTTTGTAAAGCACAACGATTGTCAAGTAATTTCCCAATTGAGTGATTCTGTACCTTGTAAAAGAACATTACAAAACATATCATATTACAGCTAACAGCCAGTCTAAAAATTGCTTATCATAATATAACATACAGACAACAAGTAAAAATTTAAACCAACTTTTTTTTGTTTTCAAAAAATTGTCAATTACTATTTTGCACTTCCATGAAGTGATTTCGTCTGCTATTGCTAATGGCAACTTATTCAATAAGTCATCCTATTATTTTCAGAATACAGCACAAAGAAATCACATGTCTTTATCTAAAATTCTTTGGATAATGTTTAAAAGTTTGGTAAGATCACTTCTTTTGCATATTTTTCTCAAGAGAAAGTAAGTTAAAAGATATTAACTTATCCCTACAAAATAACTTTCCTATCCCTGGAATCATCTTGGTCATAATAGCCCTCCTCTGTACACTTTTCAATAAGTCATTACCATTTTTTATATACAATATAACATTTAAGGACAACAAGGGACCTGTTGGTCCTCGTAGGCTGCCCAATCTACTAAATTAAATTATTGAAACAAAAATTATAGCCAGCCCTTAGCATTCACATACTTATCAAACCTTCTTTTAAACTCCCTTAAAGGAACTGCTCCCACCACATCTGAAGGCAATTCATTTCAAAGACAAACTTCCCCAATAGAGAAACAAAACGGTCTTAGCTAAAGATGACACCTAACCTGCTGAAGTTTATACTTGTGTCTCTACCACTAATTATGAAGAAAAGTGATTCATCGGCACTGCCAATTCCCTTAATAATGTTAAACACCTCAGTCAGATCCCCTCTAACTCTTCTTCTTTCCATTCCAGGTTTCATCCTAGTAGCCCTCCACTGTACCATTTTCGAACAATTCAATGCCCTTCCTAAGGTAAGGAGCCCAAGACTGAACACAACACTAAAAATGTGGCTTAACCAGCAACCTTACAGTGAAATTATAACCTCTTTGAATTTGTATTTAATATTTCTATACATACAATTTAAAATCCTATTTGTCTTACCACCAGCAACATCATGCTGCTTGGATGGCTTAAGAGACTGATTAACCAGAATACCAAGATCCTGTTCTTCCATAACACTGTTAAGGTTATTCACATCAAAATTATACTTCTAATTCACATTATGATAACTGTCTTGCATAATAAAAACTGAACACAGGATTTCAAGTAAGTCATAATTAGTGACTTGTATAAACAATAATGACCTTTTTTGGTTTTTAACCAAAGTCTCTATAAATACACCTTGAAATTCTATTAGCTTCACTACTACTAGCAACTGCTTTGATGTATTGAGTGACTTATCTACTGCTGTGCTAATATCCTTTCCTTCAGATGCAAACAAGAAACTCAGAGTCAGTAGTACTTTTAGTACAAAGTGTGGACAGCAAATGACTAGAAGTGTATGTCATGTGCTCTTTGTACTCAAAGTACTACTGTAATTCATAAGAGCACATGACATACACTTCTAGTCATTTGCTGTCCACACTGTGTACTAAAAGTACTACTGTAATTCATCAGAGCACATGACATATACTTCTAGTCAGTTGCTGTCCACACTTTGTACTCAAAGTATTACTGTAATTCATAAGTGTGGACAGCAAATAACTATAAGTGTATGTCATATGGTCTGATGAATTACAGTAGTACTTTTAGTACAAAGTGTGGACAGCAACTGACTAGAAGTGTATGTCATGTGCTCTTATGAATTACAGTAGTACTTTTAGTACACAGTGTGGACAGCAAATGACTAGAAGTGTATGTCATGTGCTCTTATGAATTACAGTAATACTTTGAGTACAAAGTGTGGCCAGCAAATGACTAGAAATGTATGTAATCTGGTCTGATGAATTACAGTAGTACTTTTAGTACAAAGTGTGGACAGCAACTGACTAGAAGTGTATGTCATGTGCTCTTATGAATTACAGTAATACTTTGAGTACAAAGTGTGGACAGCAAATGACTTGAAGTGTATGTCATGTGCTCTTATGAATTACAGTAATACTTTGAGTACAAAGTGTGGACAGCAAATGACTTGAAGTGTATGTCATGTGCTCTTATGAATTACAGTAGTACTTTGAGTACAAAGTGTGGCCAGCAAATGACTAGAAATGTATGTAATCTGGTCTGATGAATTACAGTAGTACTTTTAGTACAAAGTGTGGACAGCAACTGAAGTGTATGTCATGTAGTCTGATGAATTATATTTCACCATTTGTTTTTTTACTGAGGGTAGAGTAAAATTATTGAAGAAAAACTTTGGGGCACTTAACTCTTTCGGTGTTGTTTAGTCAATTTGTTGGAATTGGTGCAATGCTTTGGATAATATTCATAGCAAGGGGCTGATGTCTAATTTCTTTAGAAGGTTCATTAGAGTTCAGAACCTACCAGGCCATTTTTGATGATCATGTCTATTCTTCATTGCATTTCTACTTTGATGAACAAGTGCTCCTCCAAGGTGATAATACAATAATTTAACATTGCTCTTTAGTTTTGGAATTTATTTAATGAACATGACAGTGATTTCAGCCATCTTTCTTGGTCACTGTAGTTACAGTCTGAGTCCAATTGAGTCATTTAAGGATGAACTTGTCGCACTTGACAGTGTATTGCTTAAACAATATCTGAAAACCAGATGCAGACTCTACTCCTCAGCAAGTGGAATACTATCAAATAAGATACCTTTTAAAATCTTTTAGTCTTTGTTGACCCGGGTTCTGGTTATTATTGTGACATAAGTTAGTTCCACCTTATATGTGGAGTTCTGGATAATGTGACCACTTTGTGTATATTATAGAACAAAACAAATACGTGCAAGTAATAATGCTTAAAAAATGTGTGAATATTGATAGGTAAGATAAACATATTTCTGTTATAAAGCAAATTAAAATAAATTTTTATTTTTAGGATTTATACCTTTTTTTTTAAAACTATGTTGCATGAGTGGCAACAGATATGAAAGCCTACGAATTGCACTGGGAATGATTTTTACTTTCTGTGGAAAATTAAAATATGTCATTCAAAGAAACTAATCTTCTCTGTCTATCTAATGAAATGCTTGGAAAGGTTGTTTTTAAGGCATCTCTGATTTATATATTCAAATTTATAGATTAAGAATAGAATAAATATGACTGTAAATGTAGATGTAAGCAGTGTAAAACTTGTTTATCAACAGCTTCAGAGAGATTTTGGGAAAATATTATTTTATATAACTCACTAGAAAATTGAAGGAAAATGGTTAGAAATATTAAATAATTAGATCCAAAAAGTTGCTTTTATCTTGAAACCAGAAGGGTAAGAGGTAATCTGATTGAAGTTTGCAAGATTATCTATGGAATTGATAGGATAAAGACCTTGATTTCTTTATGGGATTGATAGGATAAAGACCTTGATTTCTTTATGGGATTGATAGGATAAAGACCTTGATTTCTTTATGGGATTGATAGGATAAAGACCTTGATTTCTTTATGGAATTGATAGGATAAAGACCTTGATTTCTTTATGCTGTATTTTGAAGACAAGAGGACATATGTTTGAGATTTGGAAAAGACAGGATAGGCTCTAGTTAAGACATTTCTGTGTGTTTTTTTAAAGAGTGTTTGTCTTATTGAAAGAGATGTTGGTGGCAGTAGTGGAAGCCAACAATTTACAAGAGTTTCAAATTAGAATCAATAATTTTTATTGAGAAATAAGGGGTTGATTTCAATTTTGTACTTTTCTCAAGGGCACAATACATGGATTTTACAAAGCTTTTAATTTGGAGTAAATTTGCTGATTGTTTGAAGTTAATTATGAATGAGGATGTGGTTACTAGAGTAGAAGTGGTGTCTGAGCATTTGTGGCAGAGTAGTCATTATACGGGGTGTTCGAAAAGTCCGCAACCATAGGCACTTGAACAAATTTCACAGAATGCTTTCCACATGCTGTCCTTGTAATTCAAAACAATTTTGGAGAC